TCCTTTCCAATCTGTCAGCATTTGTTCCGCCTCGCAAATCTTCTTGAATAGAACACGGAGCATATTTACAGTTGCTTCTATGTCTGACTTCAGTGCTTCAGCTAGTGTATTATCAGGTTTGTTTGATGACCATCCTAATTTCTTCGATCGTTGGTGGAGTAACAGCTATAGGAAGGTCTATGTATGCTGATTCGATGTTCAGTGGATACAATGGAGGTGGTGTATTCAAGAACTCTTCAGAGTGGTCTACCTACTTGTTCTACGATTCTTGGATCTCACTGAATGGTTAGCTTCCTTTGTTCTAACCTTATCGTTCTAGTTTACAATATTTCCCTGCTAGTTTCTTCGTTGTATCATCTAGCTGATTCATATTTCCTTCTCATGCAGCTTTTTCCGCTATCGCTGTTAGATCTTCCACATATTTCTACTTTCCAGCTCTAATACTCTTTCTCAATTTCTTGTTTACTTCTGTGTATACGGTATATATGCATTTGTTTATTTCACTAAACATAATTTTTGTATTGCCCTCTCCTTGTTAGTCCATACAACAACTACTCACTTCATTTATTTGAGGTATCAATGATAACATACTTAATAGAGGAGATAACTCATGTGAAATTGATAATTCAACTTAATTAGATTATTCATTATTATTTCTTGTTTTCGAGTTTGTTTGTTTTTCAAAATAAAAAGGAAGATAAATAAGTAAATAAACAAAGAAATGAAGAAGAACAACAACAAAACAAGACCTGTAAACAATTCATTAACATCAGATATAAGATGATGTTTGGAAATAATCAACAAGAAACCGTGGAATTAACTTACGTACTAATTGGTACTCGTCGGCAAGGAGTACCTGCATTATTCTTGAACGAACTGATACTCTATAACGGATTCGACCACGTGTCACTCAGCTTCACAGTCAGAGATGTTATCACTGATCTATCCAGGCCACTAATGATCTCCTATAGGACTGAGATGAATTTACAAGTAAATTGATCACTAGATGGTGATCAATGTCATGTATGTCAGGTCCTTCTTAGTACAGATCGAATGCTAACGAACAACTTGCAATGTGGTCATCAGTCTAAGTGACTCGATATTGCGTGAATCGTGTTGAGAAAAGATGGAGGTTGGCGGTAGTCAACAGGAAACCCTCAACCCGGGTTTCGTGCTATTTGACACTCGTCAGCAAAGTGTACCTGTATTATTCTTAAGGGAACTGATGCTCCCTGACAGATTCGATCCCAGGACATATCGGTCTGTTGTGAAATAGCAACTCACTAATGATAATAGTAGATGCGTCGCTCAATTTCGTGGATTGCTTGACGTTAGACATGAACACCACTGGATGCCGGCTCAGTGGTTAAGTGATTGCACGCGAGATTGATAGACCCTGGGTTCGCATCTCGCGAGGCGAGATCGTGAACGCGCATTGCTCAGGAGTCACACAATAGGACGACACTGCCGTCCAGTACTTCCGGGTGGTGATCTGGCTTTAATTGACTCATGAACTCAACTATTAAATTCTATAGAAGCTATGGTAAATAAATGCATTCAAACATATTGATGAATTCAGTATCTTTTGTTATAAATTTTATTGTTTCTTCTTTATACAAATTAATATATCAGGTGGTTGATGACAGAATTCAATTAGACTTCTAGACCTAATTTTTCCGCTAGTTCTGACTCATTAGTGAGGTATACACAAAATCTTAAGAAGACTGGAACTTTGTTTGTTATTTAATCCTGGGTCATTTAAATTCACAATGTAAGACATTACAACTGAACTGTTCGGGTCCATCACTGACATTTTGTAGGGGCCTCAGTATGTCAGTTGGACGTAGATAGGAGTTGACCAACGGTAAGATTGAGAGAGACATCAGTGACCAAACTGATTGACAATCGTATTACTTTGTGATCCGAATGAATTCGAAAATATGGATCACTAGATTTTAACTCATTAACTATAGTATTTTTCTATTCAGAAGAACGGACAATTTCGGATTTAATCTCAATCAAGGTTGCAACGTCTAAATGTAAGATAAAATTTCTATCCAACTGTCATCGGCTGCAATAGACTCTCCCATTGCAGTCAGTCTATATTGCAAGATAGCTTAAGACAATAAGTTCATTAGAGTCCTGACCACTGAACTAAATTAATAGGTTTACAACTAATTGGTTTCTGTGATACTTTTGTGATAATGGCTATAACTGTTAACCACACTTCAATACTAGTGTAGTGATCGACAACTTGGATGAAGAATGCCAATTTATTGTTTGATGCGAGATCATATAGTGAGTTAGAAAAATATTAAAATTATACGTTTGATACATTCTTTGCACAGCTTCTATGCGTTGTCTTTTACATACACCACTATTCGCATTCTATTGTTATTTCGATTACTTTCCAACTTCCTTCTTTTTCTCTTTATTTCAATCACCTACTGACAAGCATTCCGATTCCGATTGATGCTACATACTACTTATATCTGTTAGTATAAGTAACATACACTACAGTAGGATCGCATAGATCCCTTCTTTTCAACCATGGATATACCAAGAGACATATGATGAGTATTCGTAAAAGAATTTGTCGCATAGAATCAATATTCTAATCATTATCTCAGAACTAAAGCAATCAAATATTAAGCAGAACGAAAATCAAATAAACAAACATTGGGGTACGCGTGACGAAGCTCTTCCCTTAAACTAAGAGATTACCATGATGTGTAGTGCTAACCTGTGTTGGAGATGGTTGGAAGAAAGTTAGGGGTGGCTAAACCGAAATGTAGCATCAGTCAATGAAGTCACTAACTTCTAGTCTGAGCCATGTCGGTAGATGCAGACTACTTGGTTAGGGTCCGTGTAACTAATGTAATCAACGGTTGGAGACTCCTGGTGACATGACTCAGAATTGATCACAATGGTGTAGGTGTATACACTCTCTATCTTCCCTTAAACTAAGAGATTAAAATTGCTTCATATCTTTCTACGAACTAGTTCTTTCTTCCTGTACTATATCCTTATATGTAATCTTTCTTTTATATATTACCACCATTGAATTAACTACTCACATGAATCCGGTGTTCATCTTGTTGTGTTAATGAGGTATGGCAACTTGGACCGATGCATATATGTGCCTGGTCCTACGTTGTAGCTGACTAACGGACTGAAACAAAACGTTACATGAAGTTAATTACTACGACGTAAATCCATTGAAAGACAACAACAACAACAAAATAATGACAACTCTAAGTCAAAATATGGTCGTACAATTACCTACGTTATATATTTAACATTCAAAAAGGCTCCTTTTAATTAGCCGAGAAATGTTTTAAAATTTATAATGGAAATGTGAACCTTTACCAGGCATCTTATACATGATTTATATGAATATATCTATTGAAAGTGTATTATATTGCCTACCTCCGAAAATTCTCTTATTCTACGGTTAAGGTATATGATCAGTGAACATAGAGATTACATCGAAGTATTTACAAATAAGTTAAAGTGACTGGTATGCACTTCATTTGTGCCTTGTCCAAGTAAACAGTTACGTATGTGAAACCAGGAAATGATAATGATTAGTGAGGAGATTTTATGATTAATCACTTTGCATAGTCTTATCAATTATGGTTTGGTAAGCTAAAGTACCTTAAGGTAAAGGTTGGATCATTAAAATCTCACCATCAGAATTCATGTCATCAATCAGATTATTGAAAAATATGCTTTAAAGTGGACAAATATCAAATGGAAACATAATTGATTGAATTGAAATGTTAGGAAATAACATTATAAGCTGAGATGACGGTGGCTAGCAATGAAATCCAGGGAGCGCGTTTCATCCTATTTGAGACACGTCAGCCGCATGTGCCTGCATAACGGAGTTGAGGTTTTGTTGCATACCTAGCTAGGTCATGATTCCTAACTATATGAAAATGTTTCGGCAATGGACTCATCATTTTTGGTATTACAATAAAGATTTGGTTATTATGTAAGAAAGCATATTGATTTGTTTATGATTCCTAATATTTCTTTACTTCAACTGAACTACTTAATATTAGTGAGTAGCTCGAGTTGAATTTAGTAATTTTCACGATCCAAATACACAAGCCAAAGACCATCTGGATTTGGTAGCAATGTGGATAACTCTATTACGACTGAGGAGATTGGCATCAATTTTAAGTCCTGAAGTGCACGTTAACTCTGGTACAGATATATCTAGCTGAATATAAATAAGAACATTCGTCTAAATTTGATCGAATAGTTTTTTGGGGGGGGGGCACCGAGCTGATATAAGATATTAAAGAGGAAGAATGTATTTGTAAATTCTCAGCGGATGAATTAGAAGTAAATTCAACGTTTTGCCTGGAAATTTGGTCCAAGATTTTCTAAGGAAATATGATCAAACATCAAAATTATCGAATATGGCCGAGGGGAGAATCAGCTCTCACTCTCGAAATTCTCTCACATAACCTCGTGTACACTGCCACTGACAGGAAAGTTCTACTCACTGCCTAGATGGTGCTTACGAAATTGAGAGGATGAAAAGCGAATGTCCGGCGCTTTATTCAACTTTTTGGATATCGAGGATCCACCTAGGGGAGTTGGAAAATCCAGATTACAAATCAATCGTGCACATAGGCTCCAAGAACTTGATGGAACAAACAGAGTATGAGCCTAGTGTTGGTCATCAGTTATCCTGGGACTACATCTCCTGACGTTGCTCCACTGCCTTGTGGATTATACCATTAGGTCGAAGGCTCAGGGCGCAGCCCTCTAAGAACGTCACCTGTTTCGGTTTGGGCACACAAGCAGTATCACAGCCTACAACACACAAACCAAGTGACTTGTATGGTGTATATGTATTCAGTGCCCCTTTGTACCAATAATTATTTGTTCAAATAAGAACCGAGAACTGACGAATCCTCCAAAACGGGACGAAACACATATCTTATAAAAACTCCACTATTAACCAAATACACAATACACCTACATAAAATCAAAGCTAAACAGAAACATAATGACTTATTTATACAGAATAATCAGTTTATTGAAACAAGAGAACAATACTGACAAATGTATATACAGGCATAAGTGTTGAAGAAATCAAATGAAAATTGTTACCTTATCATCATTTGATTTTATTGGATTTCAGTTTATTCACTTTTTTCATTGATTGAATTTTAGCATATTTTGTTTTAATTGGTTGGTCAAAATGAGTTATCTCTTGTTCATCACCATCATTCATATCTTCATTATTGAAACGATCCATTATGTCATTATCATCGGATCCATTATTGTTATTATTCAGTGTGTTTCTTGTTAAAGTAATACCCCAACCAATAGATTTAGTTAAACGTTGTTGTTCTGCTGATTCTGCTTTTGCTTTTTGTTGAAGTTTATGTACTTTAGCTAAAGATTTCCATGTTTTACGTGCAGCATTAATACCAGCTTGACCGGATGTATCTAATGGGATAATAGGATAGTGTTTATTTGATATTGTTGATATTTCATTGATATTTAACTCATCATTTGACAATGATGAACTAGAGATATTACTATGCTCATCTTCATCAGAATTAGCATAAGCCTCAATTAATTCTTCATTCATTATTGGATCGAAATCGATTAGATTATTGTCTACATTACGATGACTTTCAAGCTGGGATCGAATAGTCTGAAGTGGAAAGATTTAACAATAGAGAGTGGAAAAAAATCACTTACAAGCTGATTATACTAAATAAATATTGACTGATACCATAACTATTAGTTCGATAGCTTCTATGACTCATATTTACCAAATACAGATCTACGTATAAGCTTATTTAATTGCTCATTCAGTCGGTCAGCAACAACGTAGAACTTCGTACGTACACACATCAGTTCGAGTTGCCATACCACATTAGCACAAAGATACAATTGTCGATTCAAATCCCATAGTAATAGAGGTAGTAAAAGTATAACCAGTAATCGGAAACATTAGGGTTTGAAGATATTATTTAAGGAGTATAATCCAGTGAAATAAATTTGGAAAGAGGAAAAGAAAAGGACATGAAGAATTCAGAAGATTAGGATTTGGGAGAACACAAAGAGTGGATGAACCTGTGCCATTGCAAACGATTTTGAACCATGTCATTCAGGGTCTCTAACCATCGGTTGATATCAACTCGCGGTTACCATCCAGGTAGTCTACACCTACCAACATGGCTCAGTCCACTTGCCGGTGACTTCATGGACTGATGCCATGTTTTGGTCTGGTCGCCCCTAGCTTCCTTCCAACCTACTCTACTATCGAGTCACTATTAACTTTTATTCTTGATAAGAGGATTTCAGTCGTCTGTAATTAAAACATTACCGTAGGATAAAGTCGTAGTATGAAAGAAAGTTATAAAGCACTGAACAATCATCAGTCAGTAACAACGTAGAACTACGTACGTACGAACATCAGTTCGAGTTGCCATACCACATTAGCACAGAAATGCAGTTGTCGATTCAAATCCCATAGTGGTGGAAGTAGTAAGAGTATAAGCAGTAGTCGGGAAGATTAGGGTTTTGAAGATGTTATTTAAAGAGTATAATACAGTGAAATAAATTTGGGAAGAGAAAAAAGAGACAAGGAGGAATCAGGAGATTAAAATTTGGAGAACACAAAGAGTCGATGCACCTGCGCCATTGCAAACGATTTTGAGTCATGTCATTCAGGGTCTCTAACCATCGGTTGCTATCATCTCGCGGTCGCCAACCAGGTAGTCTACACCTACACCTACACGAATATCCTCTACTCTTACCGGCCATGTTTCACTACCATAAAGTAGGACGGAACGAACTGCTGTGCAGTAAACACGTCCTTTGGTTGATAGACGGATATCTCGCCTACACCATAAATGACGCAAGTTGGTAAAAGCTAGTCGAGCCTTTTACCAACAATCATCATAGGGTCATTTTCACAGTGATCCAAATCAATGAATCATATTGATGTACAAATAGTGTTCCTTTTCTACGACACAATCATCAGTAATAGAGAAATAATAGAACGTATGGAAAACACAACCTATCAGGTACTAATTCATGGAGAACAATTTAACGTCTAAGCAAATTCAAAAAAAAATCAAAACGAAATTACCTTTGAAGCTCTCGACCAAGCTTGATCTGCTAGACGACGACGAGTTAGCAGTCCATTCCGACCATGTAAATCCGGTAGTGGAATTGGCCAACGAGGTATTCCCGATGAATTATTATTATTATTATTATTATTATTATTATTATTATTATTATTATTATTATTATTATTATTGGTATTTGATAATGGAAGATAAGGTAGTAAAGCAGCTTCTAATTCTAAAAAAATTTGAGCTACATCACGTGTTACTAGGGTTAACGCTACACCAGTTTGACCAGCTCGTGCTGTCCTACCAACACGATGTCGATAGGTCTTTTCCGATAAAGGTACATTATAATTGATAACAAATTCAACATGAGGAATATCCAGTCCCCTGAAGAGTAAAAAAAAGAAATAATTCATTTAAAACAATTAGTCCCTTTGACAAATTTCGATAATGATATTAGAAGACAAAGATTATCAGAACTATGTGATATATTGGCGCAATACATTGTATTATCGAAATTTATCAATGGGACTAATTGTTTTAAATTTCTTAAAAGAAGACTCCCTGCACATACTATCAAAAGGTTAGATGAATTTGTCAACCTTAAATGTAAAATTGTATCGGAACGCGTGAAACTGAACTTCTATAAATCTTGTTTGTTGGGTCACATATTCCTAAATCAACTATACAAGAATTTACGTTCAAGTAAATTACAACCAAATATTTCAAATCTTATTCGATTGTCGAAATCATATATAGATAAGTGCCAAGACAAACTGATCAATTTAATTGAATTACACACTCAAGCATTGCCTATATTAAATGAAATATCTATAGTCTGCCATATTAAATTCACCAACTATTGCAGTAATATCATTTTGAAAACAAAAGAAAGGATCAGTGAAAAGCTCGAAAAATCTTGTATTATTACTAATCAAGTTAATTTATTCCCAGTAAATCCTGAAAAGTATGTCACTAATTTATCTTCCATTGTATTATCTACTAATGAAAAGGAAGCACTTTCTCTTGGTTTTAATTTCTCCGTCCCTATTAAGCAAATGTCTGAATTGGAAATAAACGCCCAATTTGAAAATCTATATGATCAACCGAGTACTCTAACCCCTACGTCTTTAAATAATCAAAGCTGGTGTAAAGCTAAACTAGTGGATATAGCACACCAATTTCATAATGTTGGCCCGAAGCAGAGAAGCATATTAACTTCTCAGCATTTTAAATCATTAAAAGAACTACGATCAAACTCTGATATTGTCTTGTTAAAACCTGATAAAGGATCAGGCGTAGTTATCATGAATAAATGTGAATGTAAAAGTAAGATGTTATCTATCCTTAGTGATGACAGTAAATTTATGCCTGATGTTGAATTTGGAGGTATTAGCAAACTAGAAGGAAGAGTAAATTCAAACCTAGAAAAATTGCTTCTCATGAATATTATTAATAAAGAGGAATTTAACTTTCTAAAACCTATGGGTTCCGAGTACCCTCATTTATATGGACTGCCTAAAATTCACAAACCTAATGTTCCTTTACGTCCAATTCTATCAATGTGCAGATCACCTACACATAATCTGGCTAAATGGTTAGCAAAGTTGTTGGATCCTTTTCGAAGACATTTATGTAAGTATTCTCTAAAGGATTCTTTTGAACTGGTTGGTCAGTTAGATGATATTAATATCAAGGAAAAGACAATGTGTTCATTTGATGTAAATTCCTTGTTTACAAATGTACCTTTAAAAAAACCATTGATATATTATGTGATTACATATCTGAAAACAATTTTCAATCACGTGTACCTGTAAAACTTCTTAAAGATTTACTATTACTATGTACTGACAAAGTTCAGTTCACTTTTAAACGTGAATACTTTCGTCAGATTAATGGAGTTGCTATGGGTAGTCCGCTAGGACCATTACTAGCAGATGTGTTCATGGCACATGTTGAAAATCAGACTGATGAACTAATCGGAAACATGTCACTTTATAAGAGATATGTGGACGATATCTTAGTTGTTTGTGAGAAAAAAGAGGATATGTACGGTTTATTAAATAAACTCAACACTCTCCAAACCATATTAGTCTCTCATGTGAAGAGGAGAAAAACGATCAGCTTCCCTTCCTAGATATACTCCTGAGTAGACGAGAAGATGGCTCAGTAAAGCGATCTATTTTTAGAAAACCAACGTGGACAGGTCAATATCTAAGTTATTATAGTTATTGCCCTGTGCAATACAAACGTGGTTTGATAAGGTGTCTTTTCAACAGACTCGATCGTATTTGTACCAATGACGCCATTGATGATGATGTTAAGTTGTTAAATAAAACGTTAATAGAAAATGGCTATCCTCTGAAATTCATAAATAGATGGAAAGTCCATGGTTCAGCGAGACCTACTATAGCCTCGGTAGAGAAAAAGCCTGTCCACATCACCTTACCATTCAGAGGTGATTCAAATAGCCTTTTACTGAAACAACGACTTAAATCAGTCATCATAAAACCTATTGCGCAGCAAAGGTCATCATCAAAGAAAGAACAAGGTGCATGCTTCATTCAAAACCTAAAGTACTCGGAAACGATTGCGTCACATCCCACTGTGTTTACCAATTTAAATGTGTGTGTGGTCACACATACATAGGGAGGAGTAATCGTGATCTCAACATTAGGGTGAGTGAACATGTACCCAAATGGCTACAGAAACAAATACAATCAAGTGACCCGATAAGAGCAGAGGATAAACATCCATCATCCTCTATTGCTAAACATATAATTGAAACAGGTCACAAGATTGATCTAAATTCAGCTTTTGTAGTGCTGTATAAAAGTGTAAAAGGGCGTATACTAAGGTTCATTGAAGCCTTAGCCATACGAAAATTCAAACCCCCTTTATGTGTTCAAAAACAGTTTGTTCTTACCTTAAACCTACCCTGGTAATATTGACTTATTATCCAGAGTGATTAGGTTTCAAATTGTGTTCACATTATTATTATTATTATTATTATTATTATTATTATTATTATTATTATTATTATTATTATTATTATTATTATTATTATTATTACTCTTATCATTATCCTTATCTCCTCTTACTCCGTTTCCTGTCTAGTTGACCTTTTATTTTTATATATAAATGCTCTTAACAAGAATATGTGTGACCAGATTGTTCGAAATGTATTGCGCTAATATATCACATAGTTCTGATAATCTTCGTCTTCTAATATCATTATCGAAATAATTCATTACTAATTGAAGATAAACAACATGTTAATTTCACATTAAGGAATGACTTTGGTTCGATAACTATTGAAGACTAAGAAGTACTGAACAGTTTAACCGCGCAAGATTAAAGGTCCTAGGTTCGATTCGTGTGTGAGGAGTTATGGATGCGCATTGATGAAGAGTTCCATACTAGGACGAAAAAGCCGTCCAGTGGTGGTCTAGCCTAGATCGATTCATGGATTCAACTGTTAAAATTATAACTTTATTGTATAACCATTGACTAAATCGATTACTGTGTGTATATATTCCATTTATCATAAGCTTTCGGTTGTTGTACAACTTATTACTCTTAAACTGTCAGTCGATTATCTACAGTCTCCTATATTCACATCCATTTTCGGCCTGTCCATGTATTGTTATTTTTTACTCTGTGGTGTTATGTGGATCGAGTATGTCGGTATATAAACCACTTCTGTTTGAAATAGAAATGTAATACAAGCTGGTTGTTGACTTTAGAACTCAAGAGCAAGACATAGAGGGAAGCTTTAGAATAGTAGACCAACATGGACTTGGCTATCAGCTCAAGGTCAATAGTGCTGATCAGGCGCGTAGCTAAACAGTTTAGGGACAATGAGCTACAAAGTAGGGGTAGGATCCTGACTGGGCAAGTGATATTCGGTCAGGGATGTACAGGACAAGTGTTCAATCATGCGGGATTTTCAAGTTAACATGCAGAGGTCACATAGGTATTTTTCTCTTGGTCGGGTCGGAACCTGGGAGCAAGGAAGAGGGGCTTTGCATGGACTAATAAGCACAATCAAATCATCGGGTTAGGAGCGCAAGCATGATTAGTTCAAGCATAACACACAAGGTGATACAGAATACTGACTAATGTCTTTGCATTACATAATCTGTTGATAAGTTCTGCACATAGTGCGGCGGTGGAGAATAGAATTCATAAATGTTCAACCTTTTTTTTATTTTTTTCAAAAAAGTACTTGTGTGATTATTTCACTCTCACTTCCTTAGTATGTCCGATAATGAGCATTTCATTGCCCAGCTGAAACTACGCCTTTGATAGGTAGAAGAAAGGTACAAGCGAATGGTGGGAGGTAAGAGGGTTTTAAAATAAATTACATACCCTTTAAAAACGTATTCCCCTTTAAGACAGGCTACTTTACACTAAAGATAGTAATTGCTGTACATCCACTTATAAAAAAAGACAACTAATTAATAGAAAAGAATTTCAGCGAGCCTATAATTTATAGACGACCTTTGAGCGACACTGAAGTGATCTTCAAAAGTTCCAGCTACCTACTAGGATTGGATGAGGATTATAGAGTAGTGTAAGGAATTAGAATTACAATTGAGAGTTAAAACTAAGGATTAGGCATTAGAGTTAACATTAGCTATAATCTGTTATATTTTTTTGGAATCAACATACCGACTAGCAACATCAGTTGCAACTAAAACTTCTACTTCACTTGAAATGAATTTATTTAATGATTCTTTACGTTCAATTTGTTTCATACGTCCTGTTAATGCCACACTGGAATGGCCAGATTCACGAAGAAATTCTGAAACCATTATAGTTTCATGACATCTTTTACAAAATATCATGATATGATGTTTACGACTTGGTGTAGAACCTATAGAAATTAAATAAACAATTAGTAATAGTTTAAAGGATAATAATTGTGTTATATCTTGATGAGAATAATGAATGGTAACTTATGGGATCCGTTTATGGACCAATATTATACGTATAATTGTTAGATAACTAAACTATTCATATTCATGTTCCTCTTATTATAAGCTTCCATTTGACCCATAGATTATTATTATACGATTTACCATTCTTGGGTTATGCCCAGTTTATCAATTACTATCTCCCACATTCACAGTTACATTTGGCTAGATCTTGTACAAGTGTTATTTTCTATCATATGGTACGGTGTGGTCTGTCTGACTGGTATATAAACCCCGTATGTTTGAAATACATGATTCATATAACAGAGGCTGAGATTCGTGTTCTGGATTAAACAGGCTGGGCAAGGCAGGAAGCAGGACCGATAAGGACTCTAGGCTGTTCGTACGGGTTTTATGCAACATTGGTCCGATCGATAATTCACTGCTCTCTAATTGGCGGTATTACCACATTATGCATGAATAGGACTCATGGCGCAAGTTATAACAAATTGACGGACAGATCGGTCAGGGAGAACCAGTTACCTTGCTGACGAGTGCCAAGTAGCACAAAACCCGGGTCCAGGGTTTCCTGTCGACTACCTCCAACCATCATCTAATCTCACAATAGTGTACGCAGTGTCGAGCCACCTAGACTGGTGGCCATATTGCATCATGGTCGATAGCATTCGATCTGCACTAATAAGGACTTGACACACGTGACATTGGTCACCACCCAATGATCAATCAATTGTGTTGATATTTATTAGTTTTTATAGTGGGATTTAATGGTTTAGTCAGTTTGCAATATATGACACATTCAACCACAATCTTCCTCCACTAATTATAACTGTTTCTCATAGATAGGTTGGTTGAGAACAACCTTAGAAATCAATATTGAAGTTATTCACTCATGAGGTTGTCTGTTTCTCTCCGTTGAGTTCACTTATATTTCCATCAAGAGCTAGTTGCTTGAGTGCATAGGTAATTATCCGTACGACCACAAAGCATTTATCCCTTTTATCTCAAACTTTTAATAATTTTGAAAGGTTTTGTGCAATAAACTATTTATTTGTATTGTGGTGTATGCTATTTATGTATACAGATATAAGTAGTAAATAGCACCAATAGTAAGTGGAATATCTGAGAGCAGAAGATTAAAAAGATTGAAAATGAAAAAAAAAGACAATGAAACTGAAAGCAACCCAGATAACAACAGAAATGAAGGAACAATGAAGCTTGTAAGAGACAATTCGAAGATGTGAAAATGATGTATTTGACGTATGATTTTCACATTTTACTAAGGTACCGTGTGATTTTTCATTCAACAATCAGTCAGTCATTCAGCTACAACGTAGGACCAGGCACATATATGCATCGGTCCAAGTTGCCATACCTCATTAACACAACAAGATGAACACCGGATTCATGTGAGTAGTTAATTCAATGGTGGTAATATATAAAAGAAAGATTACATATAAGGATATAGTACAGGAAGAAAGAACTAGTTCGTAGAAAGATATGAAGCGATTTTAATCTCATAGTTTAAGGGAAGATAGAGAGTATATACACCTACACCATTGTGATCAATTCTGAGCCATGTCACACACAGTCTCCAACCATTGGTTCCGACAGTCATGCGGACTACAATCAAGTAGTCTGCATCTACCAACATGGCTCAGACTAGAAGTTAGTGACTTTACGGACTGATGCTACTTTATGGTTTGGCAGCCCCTAACTTTCTTCCAACCGTCCCGAACGCCGGTTAGCATTGCGCGTCATGATAATCGGAGTTCAGACAAATGTAACACGTGGCCCAACCATCTCAGTCAATGAAGATTCACAACTTCACCAACTGATTTACCATCATTTCCTAATACCATGAATGAGTATCTCTAACAGAACTCATTCAATAATAAAATCAGTATTCCCTACCTGAGTGTACATTCATTACAGTGTCACCTTCAAAAATTGCTAATTAATAATTTTAAGCTTCTCTAAAAGTCATCAACAAAATAGTACACATTCATTGATTCGAATAAGATAATCTAATGATTCAAAAGATCAATTTACTAATTTATTTGAACACATAAATATTGGTAGAAGAGGGCACCAAATATATATGTGCCACACTAAAAAATGTTTGACTGTAAATCGAAGCGACAATAAGGTTTTCAGTAAATATCATCATTTTCATTATATTTGTGGGTGGGCTGTAATACTGCCTGGGTTCCCAAACCGAAGCAGGTGGTTTTCTTAGGAGGCCACACCCCGAGCCTTTGACATAAACGTCTAACCAACAAAGCAGTGGAGCATCGTGAGAAGACACAGTCGCATGGTAGCCGGTGATCAACGATAAGTTCATACGCCATTTGTTCCTTTAGGATACTGGAGCCCATGTGCACCATTGGTTTGGGATCCAGTTAAAGCGCCGGACATTCGCTTTTCATCTTCTCAATTTCGTAAACAACACCCCCGCCACGAGAAGACAGTGAGTAAGACTTCCCTGGCAGAGGCTGTATACGCGTGGCTGTGTGAAGGTATTTCGAAAGGGAGGGAGGGCCCACTCCACTCTCGGTCATACCAGGGGCAAAAGATCAAACGATATGATCATTGAAAGATACAATTCATTGGATCTATTTCTTTTCAGAAAAAAAAGAACTGATTAACATACACATATATATGAATATGTTACTTACTAGTAATGCCGAATTTCTCTAATAAATTTGTTTGTATCACATTTTCTACAATCCAATTTAATATTGTAGGACGATCAGCCAATCGTATAGGAAGACAATAATGTGATAAACCAATAGGGAAACCAGTTTTTAAATTTTTATTTAATTTTAATGATGAATTAGAATGTTGTATAAGATTATATTCTGTTGTACTCTGATTATCCGTCATTAGATTATTATTATTATTATTATTATTATTATTATTATTATTATTATTATTATTATTATTATTATTATTATTATTAAGGGTATTATCATTCTCATTGATAAATACAGCATTTGATGATAATGCAGCACGACGTAGTTTGATAACATCTTTTGTCATTGTAGCCGAATATAAATAAATTTGTGGATGAGGATATTTGGTTGAAATTGACTGAATCTGTTTGTTATATGACTGAATGTCTAAAAGTGTTACATACATATTAGAGTTAAGAAATATATACACAGAAAAATATATGGTTATTTATTCGATGGTAACAAATGAATAAAGGTTATATCACAAACTTAAAAAACCACTGAAAATGAGGTAGCAACCGAATATTTGTTTCACTATTACCAATGGAGTTCAAACATGTCGTGGTATGGCCGAGAGTGGGGAGAGTTCGTTCTCCTTCTCAAAATGCTCTCAAATGGCCACACGTATACAGCTGTGGTGTGTGCTACTTATAATGACATAAGTAGTCAGTCAATGGTCTTGAGTGTTTTTAGAGGTATGAGGGTGGTTATCAATTCCCGGTTGCCCACACCGTGGAAGGGTTCTTCTGGAGGAACCTGAAAAACAAAATTGGGTTAGATGTGGTCTTGGTGACCTGAGAGCGTGACCGCAGTGCCCAAGGGACAATTGCTTGAGGTCGGTCACACATGACCTTTGAGTGAGTAATTTTTGTGTTAGCTCCGTACTTGTTGATACCTTACCGCCAGAGACGGATATCCGTGGGATAAGGCGAGGTGTGTATTTTTAGAGTCGACCTTTTCTAACCCCACCCCTCCTTGTGGGAAGGCAGCATCGCTGTCATGCTGGTTGTCTGAAGGAAACACCTTACTGCTGTCACACCTCTGTACAGTCACCAGTACGACTTCGCCTTCGGACCTTAGGTTTGTTGCTTTTAGTGTTACCGCTCTTCAACCGACCTGTCTGACATGGTAGGACCTTGAGGAACGGTTGTTCCAGCCAGTATAACTTGGTTGCTTCATCACAATAGACAAGCCCGACCACCACGTCAAGGTAGCAGCAACGGTGGGGTGACATAAGTAGTATATGATGTTAGTCATGAACAAAAGGTCTGGAAGCAGAGAGACAAGACCATCCAACAGTAAAGAATGGAAACAAAGTGGAATTTGTATAAAAATGCAAGAACAATGAAGTCTGAGTCATTTTGAGAAAACTGATAGACATTTTGCAAATTAAGCATTTACTTTATGATTGTTAGATTTTATTAACAAGTCCTGTAATTTTGTGTCAAATACATTCGATTGTCACCACCCGTGTTCTTGTTCACTACACAGCCACTGCCACGAAAGTCTTACTGCCTCACTAACGGGGAGTCGTTTACGAAATTGAGAGGACGAAAAGCGAATGTCCGGCGCTTTAACCGGGTTGGCGAACACAGAGAGTATTATTTATTTATTTATTTGAACACATAAATATTGGTACAAGAGAGCGCCAATATATATGCGCCACACAAAACAATGGGAATTCGAAGAGAAGTAGAAAGAAAAAAAAAACTAAGGAACGCAAAAGAAAAAGAGAGTAATGACGAAGAGGTACAATCAGAAGAAATCTTTCAGGTAAAGGAGACACAACCACTTTTTATGAAGAAAGTAAAAGAAGGTTACAGCAGGATCGCCACTGGCTTCTATTCTGAGCCATATCTGATAACGTCTCTAGCCACTGTGTTGCACCATCTCTCGGACCCCAACCAGGGAGTCGTGAAGGACCAACACAAGCCAGTCCTTTGCAGCTTTCTTTCATGCCACATCCCACTCCTGACACTACACTTGCCCCCTGAATGCCCTGGTACGGCCGAGAGTGGGGAGAGTCCGCTCTCCCCCTCGAAATACTCTCACACGGCCACGCGTATATAGCCTCTGCCAGGGAAGTCCTACTCATTGCCTTCTCGTGGCGGGGGTGTTGTTTACGAAAATGAGAGGACGAGAAGCGAATGTCCGGCGCTTTAACCGGATTCCAAACTGATGGTGCACATGGGCTCCAGTATCCTGCGGGAACGAATGGCGTATGAACCAATCGTTGGTCACCGGCTACCATGGGACTGCATCTCCTTACGATGCTCCACTGCCTTGTGGGTTAGACCTTTAGGTCAAAGGCTCGGGGAGTGGCCCCCTAAGATAACCACCTGCTTCGGTTTGGGCACCCGGGCAGTATCACAGCCCACACACAAATGATGAACTGTTTATGTCTATGGAAACACAGAGAGTTCACCTAGGGAAGTTGGAAAACCCTGATTCCAAACTAATGGTGAACATGGGCTCCAGGATCCTGAAGGAACAAATGGCGTATGAACCAATTATTGGTGACTGGCTACCATGGAACTGCATCTCCTGACGTTCTTCCACTACCTTGTGGATTAGACTTTTAGGTTAAAGGCTCAGGGTGTGGCCCCCTAAGAAAACCACCTGCTTCGGTTTGAGCACCCGGCTAGTATCACAATCCATACACAAATCAAGTGAGTTGTGTGGCATATATTTTCGGTGCCCCTTTGTACCAATATTTATGTGTTCAAATAAATAAATGAGGTTACCGAGATCACACAATAATGCGAACTGACTGAGATTAAAAATGCATATTCTTGGACAGTGACTCAGATATCTAAAAGTTACGAGCTCACGGCGAGATTCGAAGGTCCTGGACCCAATTCATGGTAGAGTCTTGGATGCCCACTGCTGGGCAGCTTCATACTAGGAAAAAATAGTTTTCTGGAACTTCCTGATTTTGGAATGCTGCTTAACTAAAATTAGTCCATGATATCAACTGCAAATTCAACAATCACTGTAAGCCCCTTATAATAACGATAACAGTGAATTAGTAGTGTCGTTCATATATATATATATATATATATATATATATATATATATATATATATATATATATATCATTGAGTTGTTAGAATTACACATTGTCACTCTTCCTGAAAACTGACTGAATAGAAAACAGGCGGATATTCATGAAGAACATTAATCATAACGCAAAATTAATCAATCAAGTTGGCTTGAAAAAAGCTTTTAAGGTTATCCACCATATTCTATCAAATTTACTATATAGTTTACGAGTTCATCTGTTGCACATTGCTAAAGCCATTGAAATCCATGTTCACAAACCAAACATTTACATTCAAAAGTCGTACGTACCATCACTCCCGCTACATTGGCCATCGGTATAAAAGTGAGTTGTGAGCTGAACTTTGATGAAACTCTTTCCTTCAGAAATATTTAAACTATCTTCTAGCTATCGGAATAGGGGGTTGTAAAGATTGTAGAAATTTTAATAGTTGAATTCACGAGTAGATCTAAGATAGATCACCACTGAAAACCTGAAAGTACTGGACGACCGTTTCGTCCTAATACAAGACTCCTTAGCAGTGCGCATCTAGTGAGAAGCCGTGACCAGTGGGGTTCAATCCGTTTCGAGTACATACAATTATCCATCCCAGACAATGGATTAAGGGTTACGCAAGATCATGCGTCGATCGGAGTTGGACATTAACACCGTTCGATGGCGACTCAATAGTCTAGAAGTTCAACGTTCGCACGCGAGATCAAAGGTCCTGAGTCCGAGTCCCGCATGTGAGATCGTGGATGCGCGTTGCCGAGGCTGTCCAATGCTTCCAGGTTTTTAATGGTGGTTTAGCTTAAACCGACTCAATAATTCAACTATTTTCTAGTTTCTTCCACGATGTATTTTAAGTTCTCAAAATTCGTCCCTTGATCCCTGAGCATAACTACTATAATACTGACCTTTAATCAAGAACTTTTGTTATTTTTTTTCTCTTTATGTATTATGCAATGTAGCAACTGATTGATTTTCCGAATAATTACTTTGATTATCATGATCCGCTTCCTTCCAATTACTCAATATTATTTTATCATCACTGTGACATCATACAATTACGTAACGCAACTACTCGATGAGTATTTCATTGTTATACATCATACATAGATATATTAGTGTAGAGCCATGACGAGAAATCAATTGGAAAGAAACTTCTTTGCTCTATTCGTTCTTGATAAATGTCAAAACGGGACTTCAATATACTGGAACCAATTTTATGCCCAATATCGTAAAGGCTTATAGGTAGGCGTAGATCTAAGGAGCGCAAATTAGCATGTAACGCACAAATATGTTGTTCTCTTACACACACCCCCAACACACACACTGAGGTTCTTTATGAACGAATGTACGCCATATATACTTTCGGATAAGAAAAACCAAGAGATTCAGTTTTGTGTTATACGTATCACTGGCAATTCATATCAAGTTTAAGGCCAACCGATAATATGTAAAGTGTTAATAAGCTGGAATCCACAATCACTATTTATATATTCTTGCTAAGATCATTTTGGATACTGTGTGAAAACATATATGAATCACGGGTAGTTTCTGTTGGGGGGATCCAGAAAATTCCCCGAGAAAAAATGCCAGAAAAGGCTCAAAAGAATCTGAGAAACATCTTATCCAATCAGCACTCAATAGAAGTTTTGTCAGAAACATGTCACATGTCGAGTTTCTGATTGGATGATTACCTATACTGCTGTTATTTGCAGTAGCGTTCCAGGAATTTCCAGAAGCCCAAAGTCATCTAAAATACTATAAATATTTTAGATTTTTTGTACATAAACGAATCTTTGCAGTAAAACATTTTCCTCTATGTTTCGCGCCTTTTCACTTATGTTCAAGTCGATGTGTAGATTTAGCATAGGTGTTACTAGAATAGTTTAGGAAACCGAATCTAGTATTCAATTAGGAACGTTAACAGTTTTATTCAACCTTTAAGGTGATATACTTTTCAGTAGTTGAGATCATGAGTCAATTGAAGCTAGACCATCATGGAAAGCCTGGAAGCATTGGACAGCCGTTTCGTCCTATTGTGGGACTCCTCAGTAGTGCGCATCCACAACTTTTCATTTCTCTCGAGCTAGCTGGATAAATAAAGATTTATGTACTGAGCGTAGACCATAATATTAGCGAAAAAAAGCCAAACATTAATACTCATAGAAATCCAAAACCTAATTCGTTAAACGAAAAGATACACCTACACAGACATAATTCATACTTACCATTGTTAGTCATATCATTAGTATTATTATCTTTATTATCGGCTAATTGAACTAACAGTGGTTTTGTCTTTCGTTTACGTTTCTTTCCTTTTGATTTTGGTCTGTCATATAAATTTAATATTTTGTCAATATCATCAGCGAAAGCCATATTTAACATTCTGTCAGCTTCATCTAATACTAAATGACGAATATTTGATAATTGTTGTGTAGCAAAATTTACTGATTGTTTTAAATGATCAACTAAACGTCCAGGAGTTGCTTTAGAAAACGATGTATGAAAAAAAAGGAATAATTATTAATATAGGGTTGTGGAGATTATTAAGTTTCTTGATTGAGATCATGAATTGATTGATGTTAGACCACTATTGAAAACGTGCAAGCACTAGTCGGCCGTTTCGTCCTATTGTCGGACTCCTCAGCAGTAATCAAAACTTGAAGGTTTTTACTTTTTTAAAACTCGATTTTATAAACATTCAACACCATTGGTATATAAGTAATAAAAGCAATTAGTTGTCAGGAATTACAGTGTATTATAAGCAAAGATGGATAGTGGAATTCGGGATGCGCGTTTCATCCTATGTGGAAATCGTCAGCTAGATGTATCTGCATCTCAGAGTTGATGTTCATTCTGGGACTCAAACCTAATACCATTGGCTTCAAACGCCATTACGTTATCCACTTAGCTAATGAGTCCTGATAGCCACGTGCTTGTGAAATGGGGTGAAGTTTAAATTCACGTGGTATTATTTACTTGAACCTTACCATTGACGTTAGAACTGCAACTGATCAGTCTCTTCTTGGCATATGTGCATCTTGTGCGTATTGTCTCGATATTGCTTTAATGCTTGTGAATTAAGGCAATATCGAGGCAATACGCACGGGATGCACATATGCCAATAAGAGACTGATCAGTTACAGTCCTAACATCAATGGGAAGATTCATCATTTTGAGATGGCTGGGACATGTGTTACGTGTGCCCAACCACCGACTGCCTCGACGTGCGACGTTTCATAAAGGGGGAATAGGTTGGAAGAAAGCTAGGGGCGGCCAGACCAAAACAGGGCAAAAATCCATGAAGTCACTGGCAAGTGGACTGAGCCATGTTGGTAGGTGTAGACTACCTGATTGGGATCCGCAAGACGATAGTAACCGATGGTTATAGGCCTTAAATGACATGGTTCAAAATCGTTTGCGAATGGTAAAGGGGCATCCAATCTTTGCGTTCTTCCCAATTTTAATCTGAATTCCTCATGTTCCTTATTTTTCTCTTTCAAAATTTATTTCACTGGATTATGGTCCTTGAATAACATCTTCAAACCCTAATCTTTCCGATCACTACTCATAATCTTACTACCTCTACCACTATGGGATTTGAATTGACAACTGCATCTCTGTGCTAATGTGGTTATGGCAACTTGAGCTTATGTGCGTACGTACAAAGATCTATGTTGCTGTTGACTGACTAACTATGAGAGCATTTGGAGAGGGAAAGCAGACTCTCCCCACTCTCGACCGTTCCAGGGCATTTGTGAATTTAACTTTCGGTCAGTGACATTACGAAATAAAATATACAAATGTATCACTTTTCTGCACTTCTTAAATGTAAATATCCCTTTTTAATTAGAATTCAAGCAAATGTAAATTTTTATTTTATTTTATTTTAACACATAGATATTGGTGCAAGGAGGCACAAAATACATATGCGACACACAAATCTCATTTGATATGTGTGAGGGTTTCGATACTGCCCGGGTGCCCAAACCGAGGCAGGTGGTTTCATTAGGGGGCCACACCCTGAGCCTTCGACCTGAAGGTCTGATACACAAGACAGTGGAGCAACGTAAGGAGATGCAGTCACATGGTAGCCGGTGACCAACCATCAGTCCATACACCATTTGTTCCTTCAGAATACTGGAGCCCATGTGCACCATTGGTTTGGAATCAGGTTATTTCAACTAACCTAGATGGATCCTCTGTACCTACCAATCAGGTTAAAGCGCCGGACATTCGCTTTTCTTCCTCTCAATTTCGTAAACAACACCCTCGCCACGAGAAGGCAATGAGTAGGACTTCCCTGGTAGATGTTATATACGCGTGGCCATGTGAGAGCATTTCGAGAAGGAGAATGGACTGTCCCCACTCTCCGCCGCACGAGGGCATTTGGGGAAAATGTACATAATCATAAGGATGTAGCTTAGCATACAGCTATCACAATTCACATTAAGAATGTTGAACACGTATGAGAAAAATATATATTCAACTCAACAAAATATAAGTTCATTTACCCACAATGAAATGATGTTTTCTCCATGCAAGTTTTAACGCTTGATCTACCATATCTTCACCACCGACAAGAAGAATTACTTCTAAATGAAATTCTAACTCATCTGTTTTGCACTGTCCTAAACGTTCAGCCTCATTGGCTAATTGTTGAGCCAATTCACGAGTAGGAGCCAAAATTAATGCAAAACCAACTGGTTGACCACATTTAATCCAATGCTATACATAAATGAGTTATGAATCAAAACAAAACAAACGAAAAGAAATAACATTATTTTAGTAATGTTATATTAAACTGATACAAATTGTGACTCTCAGAGGCACATGTGTGAGATATCTACAAAATTTGGATTCCTCCAATAGACATGTTGCAAATAACTCTTAATCGTTTTTATGTTTATATTGAATATTGTGTACGTAAGCGAATATATTTACTTAGAAGCATTTTATTCTACTGGTTAGTCTTGTGTATTTTACGATAGTTTACTAAGAGTCATATCTTAATCATTTAGTGTCATAACTAGTCGAACACATCGTATGATTGGATATCAATCACAGTTTGATGTTGCATTTAGTCAAAATAAATGTATTTATTTAAACACATAAACATTGATACAAGGAGGTACCAAATAGATATGCATCACATAAATCATTCGACTTGTGTGAGGGCTAGGATACTACCCGGGTGGCCAAACCGAAGCCGTCGACCTAAAGGTCTAATCCACAAGACAGTGGAGCAATGTCAAGAGATGTACTCCCATGGTAGCCGGTGACCAGTAGTTGGTTCATGCGCCATTTGTTCCTTCAGGATACTGGAGCCCATGTGTACCATTGGTTTGTAATCACGGTTTTCCAACTGCCCTAAAAGGGCTCTCAGTGTTGACTAACCCGGTTAAAGCGCCGGACATTCGCTTTTCGTGCTCTCAATTTCGTAAACAACAATCCGTTCGTGAGGTATTGAGTAGGACTTCCCTTTCAGTGATTGTATGCACGTGGCCATGTCAGAGCATTTCGAGAGGAAGAGTCGACTCTCCTCACTCTCGGCCGTACCAGGGAGTTTGGGGGCTCATTTAGTCAAACAGTCGAAGAAACCTTAAAAACTATTCAACAATAAATAAATGAAAAGGTAATTAAAAAGAGAGAGAATTATTTCAACGGAACAGAACAAAAAAATCAATTATTCAGATGGTCTATGCGATTTGAACATGATATCCATTACAAACTGAAATGAAAAGGATTTTCAAACTGTTCAAAATATCCACAAAACCAGTTTACTCACTAACAACTATGTGCTACATAATTATATTAAAGACGGGTCTTTTTTGAATTATTAATAGGAGTGAGACTGCGTATTTAACAAATTCAACGATGAAGCAATAACCTTAGTAGGGATACCGATGTGAACGCCTAGATTTCAAATTGGCGACTGGATTATTATCCTTCTGGCTCCCAAGCATGAATGCCCGGAAAGAAGAGTAGACAAATGTTTAATATATCCCTGTTGTTAGTGGTTTTACAGGTTATGTTAGTTAATGATGAAGAATATCATGTTGTATTTATAACTCTTGGAGATTTGGACCTTTATTATTCGATCCACAGAGGGCCAGTTGTAAACTGAGATAGCTTAGTGAGACTTCTCAGTGATCTTTAGTACTTTAATGGTATTAATTTATTTACCTGTTGTTTTTACAGCTTCATTCTTAGGAGTTTTAAGATTATGGGGATTTTAAACATGATACGACCAGTTACTTCCGTATGACCGGAGTACAGCAGCATCTCTCTCGAATCTAGCCGTTGCTATTCAGCTTGGGTCCGATTGGTTTCGCTGATTCTGAGTAATGTCAAGTTGTATCTCCTCATTTCCGTTGCTATTTGACTGGTCATCCCGGCCTCCCAGATTGTCCGGACGTTCCATTTACCTACAAAAATTGTTGCTCCGGTTGTTAGAAGGGGTATCGGCCTCGCGACTTCCAAAGAATCCCGTCTTTCATCCTGAGGCGTCATAATTCTTCCCTCAACTGCCAGAGCAGAGTTTAAATGGTTGAATTTGTTTAATCTGGTTGGTGATGTTTTGCGAGGTTATTTTCTACGGGATGGAGTTGCTGACCCCATGCTCAACACTCCTCCTTCACCCGGGCTTGGGACCGGCAGAAACCCTGCAGGAGCTGCAGGCGGAGTTAAGGCCGGCAACTAGCAGATACGATGAACTACCTCACCGGACGATATCAGACGTGGGGCTTGAACCCACAATCCTGAGATTAAGAGTCTCATGCTCTACTGACTGAAGGTTACAGATTCCGATGGATGGACTGAGTCAAAATAGCTCTATTTTTATGCGTTAAAACTTACATTTACGATTAAGGGCATAGAATAATCAATTAAATAATGAATTATTACAAAGAAACATATTAATATGCAGTTGTATGTGTTAGTATTGAGATTATTACATACTTCCGGGCAAAATATTTTACTTACTTGAATTATGGGTAGAAGGAAAGCTCCTGTTTTACCAGATCCCGTTTCAGCAATCCCAACAATATCTTTTCCTGGAAATATTAAAGTGAAATCCATTGGTTGATAAGGAAATTGAACGGTGGAGTTAAAAAAGAATTCGTTTACTCACTCACGATAGGTAAGCTTATTGTAACGTTTTCAGGAAGTTTAGTTAGTAAGCGCTTACCTTGTTAGATATTTAAAAGCATACAAAAGATACAAATCAGTCTTGTCACAATATGTTTCTTGATCGGTGTACCAAACAAACGTCAGTATTTATGTTGAATATAATTAACAATGTACGCGTAGGAGAAATTAGGGGGCTTGAGAAAAAATGCCAGAAATACTCCTCAGTTATGAGTCACATTTTCCTGCGTGTGCTAGTGAGACTATCAATGGCGTTAACTGAACTTAAAACTTATTTCTCAATTCAGACTACCTGCATACGGAGCTGACAACCCGAGGATTTGGTTTGCCCAAATAGAAGCCTTATTCATAGCTGGAGGTATACGCTCCCAGGCAACCAAGTATGCCAACATAGTCGGTGCACTTCCTATTGAAATCGTTACCGAAGTCGGAGATTTAATCGACCAGGTACCAGAGACCGAACGTTACGACAAAATCAAAGCCACAGTATTACAACGTACATCAGTCTCTGATAAAAAAGACTACAGCAACTGTCAACATCATGCGAACTAGGAGACAATAGACCATTGCAATTGTTACGAAATATGAAGCAACTAGCAGGTTCGTATAAATTAGACGAAACCATGATTAAACAAATGGGTTCCAACGATTACCACATAACGTGAAGCATAACCTTAGCGTGTCTGGAAATTCCGTCAATCTAGAAGATCTAGCAGATATGGCGGACAAAATGATGGAAATTTACCCTGATAGTCACTGTGTTAATGTTATACAAAACTACAGTAAAGAAGATACGAGTACCATATTTAACATCCAGCAACAGTTAACACAGTTGATAACGCATCACTGCAGGCCACTATCGCAACAACCCATTCCCGACCAGCTAGATCCAAGTTTAGAAGAAGAGCAGTCTCCAGACAGCGCCCTTTATTATTTTTTATTTGAACACAAATATTGGTACAAGAGAGCGCCAATATATATGCGACACACAAAACAATGGAATTCGAAGAGAAGTAGAAAGAAAAAAAACTAAGGAACGCAAAAGAAAAGGAGAACAATGACGAAGAGATTGGAGTAAGGTAGTGTGGTAGTAACGACGGAACGAAAAGGTACAATCAGAAGAAATCTTTCAGGTAAAGGAGACACAACCACTTTTTATGAAGAAAGTAAAAGAAGGTTACAGCAGGATCGCCACTGGCTTCTATTCTGAGCCATATCTGATAACGTCTCTAGCCACTGTGTAGCACCATCTCTCGGACCCCAGCCAGGGAGTCGTGAAGGACCAACACAAGCCAGTCCTTTGCAGCTTTCTTTCATGCCACGACACCATGTCATGCACTGACCACTTCTCCGCTTCTTCCAACCAGTCCCAGAGTCGGCAAATAATGCACGACGTGGAATTCTCTGGGACGACATTCGGAGAACATGTCCAAGCCACCGAAGTCGGTGTTTCAAGATGGTGACACCAATTGAGTTATCATCTCTGTGCCCGAACACACGATGCCGAACCTCTGCATTACTGACATGGTGTTGCCACTGAATGTCAGCAATCCTTCGGAGACAGCGATGATCGAACACAGAGAGTCGTCTAACGTCCTCAACTCGGAGAGGCCAGGTTTCACAAGCATAGAGCAAAACTGCTCTCACCAACACATTGTAGATCCGACCTTTCACAGCCAGACTAACATCACGAAGGCGCCAAAGGTGGCCCAGATTGGCATAAGCCGCTCTGGCTTTCACTACACGTGCATTAATCTCATCACTCACACCCCCACCAGCACTTATGCAGCTACCCAGATACACGAACTTCTCAACTACGTCTATCTGCTCACCGTCCAGGGTGAGTACAGGATTAGAATCCTGCCAGTCTTGTAGAAGTACTTTGCACTTCGAAGGTGCAAAGCACATACCATACCTACGGACACTGATTGCCAACTGATTAAGTGCGGATTGCATGCCTTGGGCATTATCGCACAGTAAGACAATATCGTCCGCATACTCAAGGTCGAGAAGTCTTTCTCCAGGCAACAGATCCACACCACCATTACTTACATTCATCAGAGCTGTTTCCAGAATGTCATCGATGGCAAAGTTGAAGAGGAATGGTGAGATCGGGCAACCCTGCCTAACCCCACTGCTCGAATGGAACAATGGAGAAAGGTGGTTGTATGCCCTCACTCTGCCTGAGGTGTTTGTGTATAGGGCTTTTAGGATGTTAATGAACTTCTCAGGTACACCCTTCTTCAATAGACAATCCCAGAGAACAGTCCTGTCCAACGAATCGAAGGCAGTCCTGATGTCAAGAAACACTACGATTGCTGGCCTTTGATAAGTATGGCGGTGTTCTAACATTTGGCGGAGGGTGAAGATATGATCAATACATCCTCGACCAAAACGAAACCCAGCCTGCTCCTCGCGAGTCAATCTTTCTCGGGTTTTGAACAACCTACGAAGAATGACGAAAGCCAATAGCTTGGACGCAATCGGAAGTAAACTTATCCCCCGATAGTTGTTACAAGAACGACGTGAACCCTTTTTAAAGATAGGGACAACTATCGACTCATTCCATGACGTTGGTACACTCTCTAGTTCCCAAACCTTTGTAAACAACGTCGTCAATTCCTTAGTCAAAAAGTCACCACCATCTTTAAAAAGAGCCGGAGGTAAGTCATCTGGGCCAGGTGATTTGTAACGCTTCAAGAGTTGGAGTTCCTTGCGGACTTCCTCCTCATTTGGTGGATCAGTCGTCACCGGCCATGGAGGGCAGGACAGTCTGACCGATGTTGCCGCAGCAACAGGCCAGTTGAACTGCCCTTCGAAAAATTCTGCCCATCGTCCAAGACGTCGATGGATGTTAGTGATTGGCATCCCATCATCTTCGCAGATTGTTTCACTCACACCAGACTTCTTGCTGCCAGTGGCTCGGATGAGTTGGAAGAGCTTCCGGTAGTTACCAGATGCAGCTGCTGCTTCCAGCTCATTAGCACGCATCGACCACCAGGCTTCTCGGTCCTTACGCAAGCTTTGCCCAATTTCCTTACGTAACATCCTTCGTTTATGGTCAAACTCACGGTCACCCGGAGTAGACCGACGGGCTTCAATGAGTTGTAAGGAACCTGGAGAAACCCAGTGCTTAAAAGCGGGACGTTTCGCAAACCCACAACTGACTGTTCCCGCCATTTTCATGGCGTCATGCAATTGCAACCAATGCTCATCTATACTTTTCGGTGGAGTGGTAGCTAGCCTAGAGGCTAGCTCTGTTCGATACTTACTTGCAACAGAAGTTGCAACCAGCTTGCTAACATCAATCCGTTGATGGCGTTCACTTCGTTGTCCACTGAAAAGTAAGGCAAGATTGGCGCAGACCAAGGCATGGTCAGAGTCCAGATAGGTACTCCAAAAGGAGCGGGAGTCTTGTACACAACCACGCCAGTGGTAGCTGATCGCGATGTGATCAATCTGAGTCCAGGCTTGAGATGCAGAGGGAGGACGCCAGGTGGCACATCGGCGATGACTGTGCCGAAAGTTAGTGCTAGCCAGAAACAGGTTGTGGTCTGTGCACAGTTGCAGTAGACGGTCCCCGTTATCTGACCTGCGACCAACAAGCCCTCATCGGCCACCTAAACGACTCTCTTCTGTGCCTAGACGCCCGACCTGAGCATTCAAGTCTCCGGCTAGTACTACAATATCTGTCGAACGCACTTTCTGGAGAAGAACAGATAACTGGTGGTAGAATTTATCCTTGATTGCATCCGGGCTGCAATCTGTCGGGGCATAGGCGGAGATGACGAAAAGACATCGTTTCTCACGCCGATTTCTTCTCACTTTGATGGAACTTTCTAATCTAACAGCACATAACCGACTGTTAATGGGGATCCAATCGACTAGTGCTGCCTCAGCTCTAGCGCTTAGTGCGACACCAACGCCAGCAAGACCAGACGAAGATGCCACAGGGTCCCCGGATAAGCGCACGTAAAACAAGTTTTTCGAAGCGACAGATGGAGATCGAATTTGTAGTACTTCGCCAGAGTCTTGAATACGGGTCTCGGATAGACAACACACGTCGATATTAAGACTTTCCAAAGACATAGCCAGCCCTATCTGTTGTCCGACCTGCATAAATGTGCGAACGTTGAAGGCAGCCAGTTTGAATGGTGCACGTGGTTTCAGAAAATCTGCTTCAGTCCTCGTATTCGGTGGTAACATACAATTTTCAACCGGACAGTGACTCGAGAACGTTTAGATACAGTCGGATTTCCACCAAAGACGAGCCGCTGTATAAGTATAAAAGAGGGTGAATAATGTGGAAAATAATAATAATAATGATAATAAAAACAATAATGACGATAATAGTAGTAATAATAATATTAGTATTAATAATGACAATAATTGTAATGATAATAATCTGAATCAATTGTTGTTTTTCAAAGCGAGAAAGGTAATTTCCATAGGCATAAAGAGTTCATCAATTTGTGTATGGGCTGTGATACTGCCCGGGTGCCCAAACCGAAGCAGGTGGTTATCTTAGGGTGCAAAAGCACGTCGCTGCACACAACCGTGCACCTTCACATCGAACAAGCAAGAGACGCAGGGAAACGGGCCGGCCAGACAATAATGGCGGCGTCTGTTATTGGCCACCACGCTAGCCGCCTTTTTCACATCCGGAATCGTATTTCCAGCTCAGACATTTTAGCCGATACAGGGGCAAAAATCAGCAATGTCCCACTTCCCTTCTCACGACGACAGCACACCACAAGTACCGAATTATCACTTATTGCGGCTAACGACACGGTCATTAAAAGTTATAAAGAACAACCTCTTATTTTAGACCTTGGACTCCGGAGAAGATTCACGTGGGTTCTCATAGTTGCCCAAGTCAAGCAACCCATTCTCGGGGCCGATGTTCTAAGTGCCTACAGTTTATTAGTAGATATGAACAAAAGAAAGTTGATTGACAAGAATACACGTTTGTAGGTGAATGGTACACTTACTACCGACTATGAAATTCATGATGTACGGATAATAAAACCTGTGAACAATCTTTTTACCGATATCCTGACGAAATACGAATGCATCACTAAAGTAGATTACCAAAAGGAATGCACCGTACATCATTTGCGACACCACATTACCACTATCGTCCCACCCATTTGTGCCAAGGCGAGGAGATTACCTCCACACAAGTTACAGACTGCTAAAAGAGAATTTGAGAATATGATGCAACTTGAAATCATCAGACAATCTAACAGCCTATGGGCTTCGCCATTGTACATGGTTCCCGAAAAAAATCAAGACTGGCGCCCATGTGGAGATTACCGACGTCTAAATAACCAAACCGTTCCATATAGATACCCAATTCCACACCTACATTATTTCCTATTAAACCTACATGGAAAGCGTTTCTTTTCGAAACTTGGTCTCGTACTAGCAGACCACCAAATTCCGATGGCACCAAAATATATTGAAAAAACAGCCATTATTACACCTTTTGGTTTGTTTGAGTTCTTAAGAATGCCATTCGGACTGAAAAATGCCGCTCACACGTTTCGACGATTTATGGACGAGGTCACCAGAGGTTTAGACTTTGTATTTACCTATATAGGCGACGTTTTGATTGCTAGCTCATCAATCGAAGAGCTTGTTCAGCATTTACAGGTCCTTTTCGACCGTTTTAAAAAGCATGGTGTTATAATTAATCCTCCTAAGTGTATATTCGGCGTCTCAGCCTTAGAGTTTCTAGGACACTACACCGACGCTCAAGGCATTAAACCACTTCAGGAGAAAGTTGAAGCTATCATCAACTATCCCGAACCAACTCCAGTGCGCCGTTTCCTTGGAACGTGTAACTTTTATCGACGATTCCTACCAAACTGCGCAGACGTATTACAACCTTTAACAGACTTGCTAAAAATAGATAAAAAAGTAACGAAGAAAAAAAAGGACGACATATTCGAGCTACCTTTTGATGCCAAAACGGCATTCGAGAAAGCAAAGTCTATGATTACCAATGCCACTATGTTACAGCGTCTAAATACTGACCCATTAACCCACCTGATTTGATGCACGGGCGCGTTTAAAAAGCCGTTGGGGCAGTATTATAACAGCGAATAAACATCGTTACTCCCATAGCGTTTTTTTCCAAACGACTGTCACCAACCCAAGAACGTTATAGTACCTTCGGACGGGAGTTACTGGATATTTATTTAGCAGTCAAACACTAACTTTTTGTTAGAAAGACGTGCATTCACTATCATGACTGATCATAAGCGTCTATGTCATTCATTTAACACGTCTTACGACCGATATTCGCCACGGGAAGCACGATAACTGGATTACATCTCTCAGTTTACAATAGATGCCCCCAAATGCCCTGGTACAGTCAAGAGTGGGGAGAGTCCATTCTCCCTCTCGAAATCCTCTCACATGGCCACGCGTATATAGCATCTGCCAGGGAAGTCCTACTTATTGCCTTGCCGTGGCATTACTGTTGTTTACGAAGTTAAGAGGATGAGAAGCGAATGTTTAGCGATTTATTCGGGTTGGTGGACACAAAGGGTCCACCTAGGTTAGTTGGAAAACCCTGGTTCCAAACTAATCGTGAACATGGGCTCCAGGATCCTGAAGGAACGAATGGCGTATGGACCAATGGTTGGTCACCGGCTACCATGTGACTGCATCTCCTCACGTTGCTCCACTGTCTTGTGTATCAGATCTTCAGGTCGAAGGCTCAGGGTGTGGCCCCCTAAGAAAACCACCTGCTTCTGTTTGGGCACCTGGGTAGTATCACAGCCCTCACACATAAAATAAGATCTGTGTGACGCATAGTATTTGGTGCCTCCTTGTACCAATATCTATGTGTTAAAATAAAATTGCAACAGATATCTAGCATGTCAAGGGACACTGTAACGTCGTAGCCGATGCTTTATCACGAAAGGATATCAATATGCTGATACATAAACAAGACATTGATCTTGAAACCATAGCAAAACTACAAATGGACGACGCAGACCTGAAAATCTGCAAAGAAAAGTCTAACTTGATTCTAAAACCCGTACCTATTCCCTTCTCAAACGCAACTATTATTTGTGACGTTTCAACCGGCAGTAACCGCCCATTTGTACCAAAAGCTTGTCAACGACAGATATTTCAACAATTACACGAGCTTTCACATCCTGTAATTCGAGCCACCACAAAACTTATAACAGAACGCTTCGTTTAGCCAAAAATCAACTCGGAGGTAAAAAGGTGGACTCTAAGCTGCATACAATGTCAACGCAGCAAAATTCAAAACGCACGATAAGTCCTGTTGGGAAGTTCCCATTGCATGATAAACGCTTCCAACCTATTCATTTAGACATAGTCGGTCCCCTACCACCATCAAACTCCTTCACGCACATTCTTACAGCGGTAGATAGGTTCATAAGATGGGCGATACCATGCCCTATCTCAGATACGTCTGCAAATATAGTTGCATCAGTATTTCTTGAGCGATGGATATCAAATTGCAGAGTACCTTCAATCGTCACTATAGACCGTGGTCCCCAGTTCCAATTTATCATATTTCGGGATTTTACAGAACTTCTGGGAGTGAACCACATCAAAACAACAGACTATCATCCATTAGTTATTGGTCTGGTCGAAAGGTTTCACCGCCAATTAAAAAGCTCTCTGATGGCACAGGCCGATACGTCAAAGTGGAGTGACGCATTACCACTCGTACTCCCACGAATTCGTTCAACCATCAATGATATAGGTTGCACAGCCGCTGAACTAGTTTATGGCACAACTCTTACACTACCAGGTCAATTAGTATATCCAGACACATCAGTATCAACTGATCCAAATCGTTTTGTTGGTCGACTACTACAAACAATTCAAAGTATCAAAGCAATACCGATGCGAGAACATAATAATCGAATACAACTTGACAAAAGCCTAGAAACGTGTAAACTTGCCTTCGTTCGAGTCGACGCTGTTAAAAACCATTGAAACAACCTTACGACGGACCATATCAATTAATTAAAAGAACAAATAAACACATCATCATCAACAAGGGTGGAAAGAAGGAAACTATCTCGATAGATAGAATAAAGCTAGCCTTCTACGAAGTTCAATAAGACAAAGAAGATAACACTGTGGACAAACAATCCCTCCCACTAATCACTACGAGAGCAGATGAGGATGAAAAATCGAGCATTAAGCCTACTTGCTTAGCACGTTCAGGCAGAACTGTAAAGAAACCCAAGCGTTATGTACATTTTGCTGAATAAAACAAAAGTAAATAAATAAAAACAAACCATCATTGGTATATATTACACTGTTAAATTCACTCAATTTCCCAATAAAATCTATTTTTTACACGTGTATATAATTAATCACATTTTTCCACAATCACCCGTTTTGTCACATTTTTTAAAGAAAAAAAATTTCGTCACACTAATAAACAATCCAATTTTTTGTGGGTTTACTGACAATTTTGCACGTTATTATTATTATTATTATTAACAAACCAAGACAGTGAATGACCGTATTTTCATTCCTTTTTGTGGTGTTATGCTACATTCATGCTACCTTGTACACTAACACATTGTATAATACTTATGCGCATGTCAGACCAATCTCCACGTTTTTTAGTTATTATCGTAAATATTATTTTACATACATGTATATACTATATTCTTACACTTTTTTGTTATAACCAGTGTTACCTCCGGACAGTCTAGGGGGGAGCTATGTGGAGATATGCATGACAAACTTATTTTTGTAAATAGTTTATGATATTATTTGTATTTAATTTGTTAATTTTTCACAGCATGTACACCTACCATTAAACGATTGTACGTGTTGTTTAAGTGCATGATCTTGAACACACTTTCTTCCGTCGTGTTATACTTGTAGCATGACACCCTGTTATCTACTAACAAATACTCTACAATACACACACCTAGTGTTCTCCACTGTTTGTGATTGTGATAACGGAACTCTAAATCACCTACTGTCTACATTTATAGACTACAGCCAAATTATATGATATTCTACGTTTGGTTATGTCACTGGAAAGACAACAATCTTACTGGAACCATCAATCATCTATAATTGTGTATTCTGGTACCAAACTCAACCTGAACATGCGCAAACCTGCCGAATTAAGTAACGTCCCTAATTGTTGTTGTGTTTATAACGTTTAGCTGATATACATTACCACTACTGTTTGTACTCAATAACTCTGTTATTATTTTTGAGTTCATATATTGTTTGGTCCACCACAAGCTGTTCAAACTGAAGGTTGAAATACGAATACTTTAACCGCAACGCGAACAATACTCTAAGATAACGGCATCCAGCGCTAAAACTTACTTTGATATTCTGTAAACAAATGCCTCATCTTACTCGAAAGCTTATCCGAAAATTCCTGCACAAAACACAAATCCGTGAGCTTTGAACCCAATTCAATGACTTCAACCTAGTAGACGTGATAAAATGAAGTCTGGTAGTATGCACGCAAATAATCTTGAGGGCTGTAAATGATTAAGAAATTTTCGACTGCATCACGGTGTGAAAAATGAATCTTTTCTACAATGGAAAAGCTTTAGCAACTAAATCATTTGCAATCTTCAGATAAGCCATATACTCAAAAACTTTGGTGTGCCCTGCAGTTAATCGGTAAACTATACAAGTTAAAAAACCTGATTCCTAAACCAAAAGTCGAAGCGTTGTGTTACTTAAACAAACAGCCACTTAGAATATTATCTGTAAACAGTGAAATGTGATAAAAACGAAAACTTGTATTAGACTAATGTAATTTTTAACGATGGAAAGTCTATATAACATTACTTACCTTCAAGAGCGAAAGGAATCGATTTCAGTTGTATTTTTGTAGGAGAATCCCACTTCATATGCTGACATACTGAACACAACTCTTTAATCAAACCCAAATGACTGAACGTCATATAAGCGTTGTACGACTACAGTTAACGTAAACACGATGGTTTCGACTGAATCACTTCGCTTAGATACCCTGTACATAAAAAACATTCTAAGTTAAGGGAATCTTTATCATTCTTACAGCTTCAATACTCCTGATAATCCGCTAGCAGATGGAAAATTGTGATTTTTCAACACTATGTTTCAAAAGCTCTGTGTAACGCAGAAATCAGTGACAAATGAAGTCCCAAGCATAAAAGGTATATCAAGATATACAATTACCGTTTGTCTTACCTTGAATTAACCACAGAACGAAAAAAACACGCGGTGTAACGCACACTACGCAAGACGCGCCTTTTACAATGTACAATCTCAGAGCTTCCAATACACAATATTCTTTCAAAGAGCTTGTATGCATTCGTGTTTAGCCAGAAAGTACTCATTGTTCTAAAGATGAATGGAGAATCGATTGAGTGAGAAAGTGTTAAATATTTCGGAGACTTGCATCTGTACATTCTGGACTGTAAGCCAGTCCTTTGATAGTAGCGAGCTAGTCTAGATTGTTGCCCATTCACCCAGCTTATTTGCATCCTCTTTGCTCTCGAATACTACGTCGCTTTTAGTGGTGGCTATTAAATGTTTGCCCACTCAAAATGCGGGTGCTACACAGTCCAGTGAGAGTGTTAAGGCTCCTTGTTACGAGTTTCAAACTAACTACCAAGTGAGCTCATTTTGATGAGGTATGAGTTGTCTAGTCTTTGTTCTGTTACCGTTTGTGGAAGGGCGATATATTCCCATGACCAAATACTTAGTACTGTTCTAGCTAGTGCAGAACCAGCTGCACAATCGTAATCCGATCTTCCCAGTATTAGTCTATGTACTGGCTTTGAAGTACCGAGTTGCATGGTCATTTTGCCTCCAACATTTTGTTCTCTGTCATGCTTAAAGAGTGTCATAGATTCCACGCTTACTACGTCGTCTGTCGTTTCAGAAAGAAATCAGGTCGCGATAAGAACTCTGTCCATCATTTCAAACCGAAAACATGTGTTCCTGACCCCTCCTTTTTTGCCTCAAAGCGTTCTTATGTTAAGGTACAGCTAAATAAGTGTTTGCTGCATCACGCGGTGTGATTGACAGGATCTTATGTCAAGAATATTGTGTAGTTCAATCCTGGAATTGTTTTAAGCCTGCAGAGATTCATTTCGGTCCTCCCAGTTCCTGAGGTCTATGGCTCTTGAAATAGTACTTGATCGTCGTGGGGGACGACAGACGGGCAAAGTGAGGGCTTATGCTTACTCTCTGATATCATGGTTACTATTAACACTGCTGTGCGTCATTCTCATGAACCTCTCTCGAAGAGCTGTAGAATTATGGTCTACTATGATGTTAGTACTGCTCTATTATTTGACCTAATCCTAAAATTGTAGACTTGTCATGATATAACTGCCTAATCTACAAGATCTTACGTGGACGTCAATACATGATGGAGAACAAGCTAAGGTTAGAGAAAGAACAATATGTTTAATATGAATAAAAGATATAAGGTAACATTCCACAGGGACCACACTTGCATGGCCAAGCCATGCTATTCGATCAACTCCAATTAATTCAATACATTCTTCCCGCCTTCTCCATCGTTAGGTATTTCTCCGCGTTAAATATTGAATATCTATTTTCCGAGTTGTCTCGAGCTCAGCTTTGAGGATTCTGTGATTATGGTTCAATGCCACTACACTACTCTCCCACCAGAATCAACGTGATGTTGGTTCGATACCAAATTGGATGGGATCGTCGCGCGCCGGAGGTTACCAAGGATAATAAGGATCCTCCGGGTATTGATAACCTGAAAGATAAATCAGAAAGACGGCAGCATCTGGTCGGGAAATACATGTAATAATCTTAAAATATCTGCTTTCATGATTAACACGCTTAAAATGAAAATTTGGTTGAAGATTATTTGAACTATAAAAAATGGGATTACAATAATAGTAATAATAATAAAACGATGCGTGTTAATAACTTGACTTATAGGCAGTAATTATTTTGTGGTTAGAAATATTAAAGTAATGAATATTGTAGAAATGCTAATATTGGTATTAGTTTTGGTTTAAACTATGAAATCAAATAACGATTATGCCGGTAAGTTGTCCATATGAGTTGAATTCCAATTGCATCTGTATTGGTAGGCTAACTGAAGGGACGAAAGTATACCGTGGAGAAGAATTCCAACTAGTGTTCCAGTTAGTTTGATACGGTTTATTTAGTTACGGGGAGATTTTCTCAACCTCATTTTTACTTGACCGTGATAGGATTTAGTAATACTACTAATACACATGAATGGTTATCAAAATAAAATTTAAATACATGAGTGGTAATTATATGGATTTTGGACAGATAGCTAGGAAAAATCGTTAAACATGGGTGTGTTCGTAAGAGACATGCTCAAGACTCAATGTTCTGATCTGCCATAGAATATTTATTTTTATTTATACCTACCGGCTGATGGTGCATACAAGTTAGTTGCAAGTATGCAGTTTGTCATAAGGCGGAATACGATTTAATTGAGATATAGTGGTTATAAGTTATCAAAATCAGTTAGGCCTGTGTCATATTACTAGGTGATGTGGTGCTGCAGGATATATTCGGCTAAATAAGCTTTTACAAGATGATTAACAGTGAGAGATGCTCATGTGATTATCAGGACGAACACAAGTTGTAACCAACGGGAGTACACTCCCAACTCATGTCTATGATAATGCCTTGAACTATAGTCAGTGTTGGGGTAAATTCGACATTGATGTTTTCAGTTTGCAGGAGATTTGCTCGACTGTTTATATTAATTATTTGCATGCATTATTGTGTCACTAAACCATCAATTAGACTGACAAGGTTTTGAGATATTTACTGAATGAGCAACTGGTAGAGAAACATACTGTAATCATCTGTAGTGAATGAAGATAAAAGAAAAACAACACTAGTGATAATTATAAGTCGATTTGATGACCGGTTATGTTAATAGTTTCATTAATATTATCAATCATATTACGTGATTGTCAAGTCATGACAATGCTTTATGACGATGTCCTGAAACTATTATGTTAAACTAGTTATAGTGTTGATTGAGGATTAGCCAGTGGAAAAATAGGTATTGTTGCTTTAGGAGATTCGAACTTATCAGAAATTTACAACGTTAAAGAATCCGAGACGCCTAATTTAATTATAAATTTTAATTCAGAAAGATTCGTTTAGTGGTAATTTTAGTAGGCTACGGAGTTTTGATTTTAAACGTTTGTTTAGTCAACAGCTACCTGGGGATTTAGTTATTTGACTAGTGCCATTGATAGTACCTAAATTTGTAATTTATCTAAACTATGTCTGCATTTTAGGCTGCTATTATGATAAACCAATCCATAAACCCGAATACGATTAGCAACAACGACTATGATGGGTTTATTGATAAATGTTAAAGGTGATTCAGATGATTTCTAAATTTAGAAGACATGAAGATATACTGTAACGTATGTACGGGCCAGGTTAACAAGCAGGTTGTTGACGTATATGACAATTAAAAAATAATGAACACGACCAGGCTGCTTATGAAACTTCAGGCAGGAATATGACGCGTTATAAGCATTCCATAAGAAGTTACTGCATTCAGCCTAGGGACACTTACAAATATATGGCAAAAGCAACTGGAAAACATATGTATGTTCAGTACAAAAAATCATTAAGTAAGATAGTTGAACTCACCTGGATTATTTCTAAAAATTAGATTATTCAGTGGACGACATATATAACGCCATTCGTAAGGAGTAGTAATGATCCAAAAGTATCCAGAATAAAACATGCAGTATGGCAATTAATTCCAGGGTGCTTGATGGTGTTGAAGTTTCTGTCACTCGCTCGGATTAGAACAATCGAATGAATTCAGTTAATTGTGTGGTTGTTATTGAATGAGCCATCTAAATTGACCTTATGATTGCAGAAAACCTATAGATGAACTCACCGTATGTTTTTGGAGAAGTGTCATCCTTGTTGTTTGGCAATGGAACTCGAAAATATGAAATTAGGCAGGCAGTGTTCAGAAGAAAAGATATTACAGGATAGTGCATAGTTTAAAACAGGATGAGGTGTTAGGTGAAGGAACACTGATAATTAGATCCCGATAACTATTTAGTCCTTGATTGCATTGTTAGTCAATGTATACTTACGCTATTTGCAGGTCATATTTGCTAGAGCTTGGTGTTTAAACAAGTCTATGTTGCTGAAGCAGGTAAATGCTATTAAAGCTTGTTAACGAACCATCAAAGCTAATTAGCTGATATAGATGATCAACTTTTATTATGGATTGAGCTAGTAAGTTATGTGAACTAATAGATATAACATTACCATAATATATGTGACCATTAATCAAAAGACTATTAGAATAGTGGGTTTACAAAAATAAAATCCGATTGAGAAGGTTAAGGTGGAAATAAGGATTAACAATAATACGTTGCGTTTCTTTAGTTGGGCTCACCAATGTAGAATTATGGTCTACTATGATGTTAGTACTGCTCTATTATTTGACCTAATCCTAAAATTGTAGACTTGTCATGATATAACTGCCTAATCTACAAGATCTTACGTGGACGTCAATACATGATGGAGAACAAGCTAAGGTTAGAGAAAGAACAATATGTTTAATATGAATAAAAGATATAAGGTAACATTCCACAGGGACCACACTTGCATGGCCAAGCCATGCTATTCGATCAACTCCAATTAATTCAATACATTCTTCCCGCCTTCTCCATCGTTAGGTATTTCTCCGCGTTAAATATTGAATATCTATTTTCCGAGTTGTCTCGAGCTCAGCTTTGAGGATTTTGTGATTATGGTTCAATGCCACTACACTACTCTCCCACCAGAATCAACGTGATGTTGGTTCGATACCAAATTGGACGGGATTGCTATGCGCCGCAGGTTATCAAGACTAGTAAGAATCCTCCGGGTAATGATAAGCTGAAAGATAAATCGAAAAGAAGGCGGCAGCATCTGGTCGGGAAATACATGTAATAATTTTAAAATATCTGCCTTCATGCTTAACACGCTTAAAATGAAAATTTGGGTGAAGATTATTTGAGCTATAAAAAATGGGATTACAATAATAATAATAATAGTAATAAAGCGGTGCGTGTTAATAGCCCTCGGTTAATAACTCAACTCATAGGTAGTATGTATTTTGTGTCTAGAAATATTAAAAGCAATCAATATTGTAGAAATGTTAATATTGGTATTAGTTTTGGTTTAAATTATAAAATCAAATAACGTTCACGCTAGTAAGTTGTCCATGAGTTGATTTTCAATTGCATT